TCACAAAGTGGGTCGGAGCAGTCACTTTCAAAGCCGTCACCAAGAAAGCAGTGGTGGATTTCGTGCATTCCAACATTATTTGTCGTTTTGGTATTCCTAAAACTATCATTACAGACAATGCTGCAAATCTGAACAACCATTTTATGAGGGAGGTATGCGAACAATTTAAAATTACGCATCGTAATTCTACCCCTTACCGGCCCAAAGTTAATGGCGTCCTTGAAGCTGCAAACAAGAACATCAAGAAGTTTCTCAGTAAAATGATTCAGAGTTCCAGACAATGGCATGAAAAGTTGCCCTTTGCACTATTGGGATATCGCACAACCGTGTGTACATTAGTCGGAGCCATGCCTTATTTATTGGTTTATGGCACTGAAGTCGTAATACCTGCAGAAGTTGAGATCCCCTCTCTTCAGATAATTGTTGAAGCCGAGATCGAGGATGATGAATGGGTCAAAACCCGATTAGAACAGTTGTCTATGATTGATTAAAAGCGGATGGCCGCAGTTTGCCACGGGCAGCTGTACCAACAAAGAATGACCCGTGCCTACAACAAGAAAGTGCACGGCAACTCGTTCTGAGACGTATTCTCCCGCATCATGAAGAAGCCAAAGGAAAATTTGCTCCAAATTGGAAAGGTCCATACATTATAAGAAGAGTATTGCCAAATTGAGCGTTGTATTTGGGAAACATCGAAAGAAATGACCCCGAGACATCTGTCAATGTAGACGCAGTCAAAAAGTACTACGTTTAACCCGTTTTACAGCTTTAACATGCTCTGATTAGGATGACGAAGGCTTTCCTTCTCGCTATCCAAACATTACCAGCCCTTTGCAAACCCGTCGAGCCGGTTCCCTTTCTTTGATTACCCTCTTTGGAACCTGGAAGTTGTATATAAAAAAAAATTAAAAAAAAAAAAGAAAAAAAGAAAAAGAAAAATGAAAACAAAAAAGAAACAAAGAAAAGAAAAACAAAAGAACTCAAAAACAAAGTTCCTTGAACTACGTTCGACTTGATTCCGAAAGGATACGTAGGCAGCCTCTTTCTGGGATTCAGTCACACCAAAATAAAAATTCACATTCCCCCAAAAGTTGAAACTAGGGCAGATGTTATAAATGTTCGGCGATAGTTTCGCCTGAAAGGTTCCAAAGTTGTAATTCAATCCAAATTCGTTTTACCCAAATCCTTTTCAAGTCCTTCCGATTAATCGGCAAAGATGTTCAAAATTGAAGGATACAGTTACTTGGATCTGATGCAACTAAAATAAGAGAAATACAATAAGAGAGTCTTATTGGTGAAAACCCTCGCGGGCACCGTAAGGCGATGGTAAGTAGAGAAATTAAAATGAGAGTCTTGTTAGTGAAAACTTGCAAGGCGCATTATAAGGCGACGGTGAGAAGAGAAATGAGATAGGTCAGCTAGTGAAAATCCGCAAAGGACGCCACTGATCGAAAAGAGGTTCCTCACAGCCATTGGCATCGACACAGTCCGTGGCAAGGTTTCTCGGTTTCGAGGCAAAAGTTGTGATGAATTTATGAGAGTCGGACGGTTTACATAGATCAGGCATCCAGTCCAAAAGGCATGTCATGTTCATTGAAGTCCGCATGTACTCCAAATAAGTCCTTCTTTCCTTTCCCCGAAAGGGATACCTCTTGTTTAAATTCATTGTCCATTCCATTGTTTGTTTTTCTTTGAATCCCTTTCGGTCTAACTCTGTTCCGAAACTAAGACGAAGAAGGGATGGTAAGACGGATTTACAGGGTTCTTATTTGATACAAGCTAATATGCAAAAAGGTACCCAACCTCGCCAGGGATATCAAGTTGACCCCGACTGGGCATGGTAGCTGATGTTTTGAAATTGAAAACTCTCGAAAGAAGGAAATCAAATTGAAGTGCCTACAAGAGCAAAAATGAAGTTGAAAAGGTTGAGTCCCACGCGACTAACCGTCGTGGCAAGGTTTGAAAAGCCAAGGATTCCCCGTTGCTCTGAATTTAAAATTGGGAGAAAGAAGTCAAAGGCCTACAAAGGCAAAATAAAGTTGGAAAAGGTTAAGTCCCACATGACCAATCGTCATGGTAGAGTTTCAAAAAAGCCAAAGGTTCTCCAGGGTCAGAAATGCAATCGGTATCCAGGAAACAACCAGTTGCATTTGAAATCATCATCAAAGAAGCCGGACCGAGATCAAGTGACCGAAACACTCAATGCCACAAAATCAACCATTGTTTCAAACTAACAATTGTTCTTTGTTTGAAAAATAGGAAACGTGTGCAATCCAAAAGCAACCTTGCAAGAAGCAGGTGCAACCAAAAAGAAATTGCGGGGGCTAGAAACAGCTCTGCAGCAGCAACAACTCTGAAAGGGAAGTCTTTTCCAAATTCTTTCCCGCATTTTACTCATTCTCTTAGTAAAAAAAAAAAGTTCAAAATCATGGTAGTATAGGGTTTCCAATCCCTAGCTGCGTTTTTCAACATAGGGTCTCCACTCCCTAGTTGATTTTATTTTAGACATAGGGTCTCCACTTCCTAGTCTCTTTTCCAACATAGGATCTCCACTCCCTAGTCTCTTTTCCAACATAGGGTCTTCACTCCCTAGTTGATATTTATTTTAGACATAGGGTCTCCACTCACTAGTCTTATTTTCCAACATAGGGTCTTCACTCCCTAGTTGATTTTATTTTAGACATAGGGTCTCTACTCCCTAGTCTCTTTTTCAACATAGGGTCTCCACTCCCTAGTTGATTTTATTTTCTGACATAGGGTCTACACTCCCTAGTTGATTTAATTTTCTGACATAGGGTCTTCACTCCCTAGTCACTTTTCTAACATAGGGTCTTCACCCCTTAATTGATTTTATTTTAGACATAGGGTGTCACGACCAAAAATCCATTAAAGGTCGTGATGGCGCCTAACACCACTGTCACGCAAGCCAACAATAAAAGTTTAACTTAATTACTCATTTTAGTATTTTTAAAATCGTAAATTTCCTTCAATTAAATGGTAAGAGGTAAAATTTACAAAATCAGAACAAAATACGAGTGAGAGGTATGTACCTAAACTTGTAAATCAAGCTGAACTTTTGCCAAATAAAGGCCAAGGAAAACAGCTATTGAGTGAGCTCAAAACAGATCAACAGCAGAAATCATGAGAACAATCCAAATCCCATCTAAACAACAGAGTGACAGCAACAGTAAAACCAACATCTTTCAAATCAAACCAAGCTTTTTGAATCCAGAAATGATGCAAGAGTCCAAAGAGGTTAGAATCAGCTTTTAATCCCTCTTTCTTGATTGTTTTCTTTCTATTTTTGGAGTGTTTTTGCAGCTATTAAAACTCAGATTTGGAACCTAAATTGCTAGCAACCGTATGACCCTTTTTTCTAAGTTTTTTCTCACCAAAATGGGTGAGAATGAGACCTTTTATAACAAGATTTTTAGGGCAACCAAACCTGATTTTTCTAATTCAGTTATACCTTTTAAACTTTATTTTTGTTCACTTATACCCCAGATTCCCAAACCGTTTTTATTTTATGTCCTTCAGAGACAGTTCTCTTCTCTCTCTTATTTATAACAGAAAATATTTCATAATTTTTAAATACAAAATTACCCTTCCTATTCCTTATAATTACCCATGCCCTTTCAAAACTTCTTTAACCAACTGATTCTAAATTATTCCTAACTTGAACTCTGGTTAAAAAAACTAAACTCATTTAACTAAGATTGAGGTCTAAACAATAAACAAAAATAAACCAAACCAAAAAAAAAAAATACTAATAACAAAGAAAATTAGAAACAAACTATTAAACAAAACATCAAAACATAATTTATATAACTATTTGCAAGTTAAAGGTGCGAAACCGGACAGATTATAAACTTTAAACGAGAACATGCAATTATTTATTTTTTTGACGATTTTAACAGAAATTGAAAAACACCACAAGATGGGTTTAAACGAAAACGAAAAACAAAGCAAAGATTTCGAGGTTACCTTTTGAAAATGCAAACAAACGCTTGGTCAAGGGTTTCTCTGACCAACAGTGGTCATCAACGAGTAATCACTGACCTTGTGCTTTTAGAATTCGGCTAGTGAATACGTGCTAATGACTACTGAAGTCGGAGAGAAAAATGAAATTCGCTGCGTTCATCCTCCGAATGGTAGAAATCGAAAGAAAAGATTTGGGGTTAACCTATTGTGAGATCTGTTACGGGATGAGTTCTAGGGCTCTTTAGGGGAATATAAAAATGAGTTAAGGAATAAGAGGCTTTGAGGGTCATGGGGTAAAGAGTTGGGGTAAAGAGTTGGGGCGGCTAGAGTTTTGAGTGGGGAATGGGAGAGATAGGGGAGATGGGGAAACGAGGTTTGGTCTCTAGGTTTGGGGGGGAGGGGGGTGAGACAGTTATATGGGATGGGGGTTGTCAATTCCGGACCATCGGATTAAACTCAAGGGACACTAGGATTAAGGATCTGAAACGAGGGCGTTTTGGGTTTAAAGGGGAGCTGGACCGGGTTTTAGGAAGATTGGGCTTAGGCGAATTTGGCAATTTGGGCCACCTATTCAAATGTGCTCTTAGCCCAGTTTTCAACGAAGACTAACCTCTTCCTTTCCCTTCTTTAATTTTTGCAATGTTAGCCACTTTAAACCCAAATAGCACCTAGAACTCAAATTGCAAAATTAATTCTTTTACTACTTTATTTATTAATTAACTAATTAATTACTTTAACAATATGAACTAATAAAAGAAAATTATTAATCTGAAAACCAAAAACAAAAAATGTAAAATGACTAGGGTATTTTTGTGATTTTCATTTATCAATTATGTAATTAATATGTGAATAAATCCTAAAAAATGCAATTAAAATCTAAAATGCTATGCAAAGAAGAATTGGACATTTTTATGGTATTTTCTATGATTTTAAGATATTTAACATGCACAAGAAATGCAACTACAATGCAAATAAACAATTAAAAAGGAATTCCTAAAAACTATAAAATCAAAAACAAGTAGAAAAATCCATTTTTTGTGAATTTTTGTAGGAGTATTTTGTAGGGAAAAAATTACGTGCTCACAGTTGTGTTCGTCAATTTGACAACACTAAGAGTAATATAAATTCTGAGGAATCTGCATTTCCAAAATAGACTAGAGTAAATGAGAAAAGTTCTCATATTCTTCCAAAAGAGGGCGTGCGGAGTGCTCACAATTGTAATGTTCCTTCTGAGAAGCAAAACTATTGACCTGTGATTATGATCGTCCCAGGTATTGTCTTTACAGGGCTACATTTCCTCTTTATGTTCGGAACACTTGGCTTAAAAAAAATAGGTTGTGATGATTCATCCAATATTAAGAAGCCGATATCCCTTCAACACTAGAACAGTGAGCTCCTCCATATAACAATTAAAACGTTGTATGTAACTGGTAAACTCATGGTTTGGTGTCAGCTCGATGCATCCTACCCAATAAGTCTAAATCTTTGTCCGGGCTCCTGTTGAATGGAGTAGTAGAGAGTGAAATACACATCAGTGTCAGCAAATATGGTACTTATTGGTAAAAAAACAGGTCAAATGTTATTTTCACAATAATATACTGTTAGCACCCCTTTAGTCTACCAACAATTTACACATGGAAAGTTTCAAAAGATCAGGAAGTAGATGAGTCCAGTCATCTATTAGTTATGTTCATATATTTCCTGTGGCAGTCACACATTGGTAGATCACTTTCTCATTCCAGTTGTGTTAGGGGTTATTTCCCAATTTTTAGGTGGGTGGTTAATCCATCAGTGTTTATATTTAAATTTATTTGAATTCAGTGAAAGGTATGCATAAAATTATTCCTGCCTTTGAGTACTTCAACTCAAGAGATTACAGGTTCTCTCTTAACGAACCAGCACCATAGGTCGAAAAAAGAAAATCTCTTCCCAAACTAACTCTGATTTTATCTTACAGCGTCCCATAACTACATCTATAAAAAGGGACCGTGACAACTTGGTATCACAGCCGAGAGTTATTGGAGACCAAATGCAACAACAACTAGCACAGTTGGTGAACTTGTTCCAAGAAGAACGTGTCTAACCAGACAGGAAGCCATATATGCTCGCAACCACAAAGGATTTAGCAAATTCGAAGGCCGATTTTGAATCAATCGAAAATACCAGGTACAATCGAGGTTGGAAGGGTAAAGCTGGAGTTGAAGGAAGGTCAGGATCAGAAACTGGAGGAAGTTCCAGCATTCCCAAATATACAAAGTTGAATTTCCCACATTTTAGTGGGAAAGACGACCCTTTGGGATGGTTGAATAGGTGCGAACACTTCTTTCGACACAAGCAAACTGAAGAAGAAGAAAATGTTGGACGTGCTTCTTTTCATTTAGAGGGGAATGCACAACTCTGGTTCTTTAAACTAGAGACAGATATGCCTCAACCATCTTGGATGAATTCAAACGTCAATGAAACCTTCGTTCTGGGCCACCAATAAGAAGTCAAAAGTTGGGAGAATTGGCTAAGTTGTGCCAGATCGGGTCTGTGGCAGATTACCAGAAAAAGTTTGAGCAATTGGTTTCGCAGGCTGGTACCCTCACACAGTCGCAAGAAATTGAACTTTATATCAGTGGTCTTGCTGACTATATAGCAACTGAAGTGGAGTTGCATAACCCTCCAGATTTGGCGACAGCAATGAGTATGTCCCGGCTTTATGAACGCAAGGGACAACCCCTTCATTCGGAATTATCAGATGTCCGTAGATCAAAGACAACAGATTTCTCATCGCAACAACACACCAGATTTGTAAAGAAATTGACCAGATCTGAGATGGAGGAAAGACGCCTTAAGGGACTTTGTTTCAATTGTGATGAACCATTCACCCAGGCCATAAATGTGGATTGAATCTATAAAGGAAGAGGAGAAGAATCTGATGCACAAGAGTCATATCCTAACACTGATTTGCCAACCAACAACGCTTTCCATACTTCCCGCTTGAGGACAAGCGCGATTTGACAAAGGGGAGTAATGTTAGCACCCCTTTAGCCTACCAACAAATTACACATAATAAGTTTCAGAAGATCGGAAGTAGATGAGCTCAGCAACTTTAGGCATCTGTTAGTTATGTTCATATATTTCCTGTGGCAGTTATTACTTATTAGTAGTAGCAGTTATCAGTAGGAGGCCACTTTCTCATTCCAGTTATGTTAGGAAGTTATTTCCCAATTTTTAGGTGGATGGTTAATCCATCAGTGTTTGTATCAAAAATTATTTGAATTCAGTAAAAGGTATGCAAAAAATTATTCCAATCTTTGAGTACTTCAACTCACGAGATTGCAGGTTCTCTCTTTCTCTCTTAACGAACCAACACTATAGGTCGAAAAAAGAAAACCTCTACCCAAACTTACTCTGATTTTGTCTTACAGCGTCCCATAACTAGATCTATAACAGGGGACCGTAACATAGACCCTCCATCTCAATTTATATGACCCTCTTTCTATTTTACAACAAGATGAGCTACTACGCCTCAATCCCAAAGCAAGTTGGGATCTTTCTACCTTACGTCTCAAAATATTTGATGCTATTTCTTCAATATTTTGTTCCAAAATAGTTTACATTAGCCTCCTGGAGTTAAAGTAAGTGGTTTTACAATGTTTCCAAACATATTCCTACATTATTCTCATTTGAGTATTTTCCTTCATGAAGAAGAATAAAAAAAATTCCATGCAAAAAATTAAAAGACAAAGTACTAAAGCTTTGTGTATAGAGTACTCAATAGTTTTGCTCATTATGGACAGAAACTTACCAATCATATCTTTGTTAAGTATCTTCATTTCCGAGTTGTTGAAGCGAATCAGGGCCAACAAGGAATACACGTCTGGACGTTTGGTACCGGAAAACCACTATTCCTTTATATGCTGCCCGTGGTACACCATCCTGATGAAACGAACAGTTAGTGCAAGTTTTACAGAAAGCAAAAGGAGAACCATGAAAGAGGACAAATCCAGTCACAGCTAGTGTGAATAGACCTGTCCACGGTTCAGGCAAAGAACAGATATGGGCCAGTCAATGGTCAATATTAACATCCTCAGACATATATGAAATGGAATAAAGATGGACCAAGCTACTTATGAATGTAACCACAATTAACATCACTACGGTCGGGCTATCATAGGTCTAATTTCAACTCCACCCCACCCTTTCCCATAGTACTGGCCTTGAGCAACAAATAGGCGTTAAGAAAATTTTATCTTTAAATTTGAAAACTATAATATTGACTATTAATCTAGGCTATATTTACCAAAAAGTAACTAAATTTGCAGAAACAGTTTGTTTAAGAATTAAGTAACCAAGTAACCAAAGCCACAAATAAAACAAGTAAATGACTATAGCTCAATCTAAATTGCAACCTATGGACCTAAAAGATCTCCTCCTATTTCATTTTCACTAATTCTATTTAAAATGGCTATAGATCAGTCTAAATTTTAATATATGAACCTAAAAAATCTCCTATTTCATTTTTACTCATTCTATACATGTGGTACAAAACCAAGAATGAATACATATCAAAATATAACATATCAACCTATCCAAAAGAATGCTTTCTATATCAATTATTTGAAAAATATGAATTGTAATAAATATATGAGACCAAGCAGGCTAGCCTAACACGGTTCAAGTTTTGCCCATATTGGCAAACCTCATTTTTCGTTCGTGCAGACGCAACCTCTAGCCCAAGCACATATTGCATGGAAAGTTACTGGGGCCCAAGCCCATAGATAGGCATAAATGAAAGAGAAGATGGCAGGCATGTATTTCAAATTTCACCTCCATTTGCACCTGAATTCTAGAAGGGAATGAGTTGTGCAATTGGATTCTGATTGCTTACTCTAACACTAAGAGCACCTGCATATTTTTGCGTCGCAATACTATTACCAGCGTTTGTGTTATCAGATCAGCAACTGTTTGCATCGATGATATATCGAAAGAAAATGTCATATGGCTGTGAAACAATAAATCTCCAAGTGGTAAAAGGATAAAATCAGGCATGAATTTTGAACTGCTCAACAGTCTGTTTCAGAGTTAAGTAGATAGACGGCTAATATGCTATACGTAGCCATACTCGACATACGTAATGACTGCATCTAAAGAACCCACTCAAACAAATATGATCAAATCTCAGGTCATAATCAATTCAATATGAAGAGAAGGGTCACATATGCATTACCTTCCATTCTTCAAAAATGCCAAATTGCCGTGCGATATCTTCAAAGTCTAGTTGATCTCTGTACTGAATACGCACATCACCATCTATGTTAAATGCTTTCAAAACAGCATCAGCTCCATGGATGGGCTTAGCCTTTTTAACCAAGTCACCAAAGTGTTTCACGTAATTGTCCTGAGAACACGAAACCACAAGTTACCTACGCAAGATGGTTTAAATGACAAATTTCTCAATCAACCATCTAATAATTTGTCAGCATTCACAAGTTCTCTAAATCTTTCAGCACAAAAATAATCTTCAAGTCATTACCTCCAAAAGGTAACTAAGGTCCATTGACTTCCAATCAACCTTCCAACAAAATTCAAGGTAGAATACATGTCATACAAATGGAAAGAATGAGTAGGCAAGAAAAGGGGTGATGGCAATAAAATAAAATAACATGCCTGGACATCATTTAGTTTAATTGGCTCAAGATACTGCTTGAAAAACTGCCCCAAACTAGAACCCTGCAAATAATGTAAGATTGTTGACAAGGCTTAAGGAGAAGTTTCTGTAAATGATGGTAAATATGGGGAAAGATTTAATGTTATTGACTTAGATGGTGGAAATTAATAAAATTTCCATCTTTAAGAACAGCAAAAACATTTTTTCTCTTGATAAGCATGTAAATGAGTAAGAAGAGCAATGAGATACATATTAACTTTTTCTTGATCAGTAAGAAACATTAAGAATATCACACCATTGAAGATCAGAATTCAAGCTCAACTATGTCTACTGAGCCAAAGTCATCTAGCACTGATTTCAAGGAGCACATACATGCTCACCAAAATTATATGTTCTGCAAACTTCTGGGCGAATAAATTGTCGACCTCTGTGATTCTCTTTGAGTCTTAGCCAGTCGTCCCAGTAAGTAAAAGTAAGGTCAAAGAAAATCTTTGAAGTTTCCAAGGTAGTCAATTTAGGCAAGAAATAAGCACATCAGTTCGAAAGGATATGCCTTTGGCCACTTTGGAGATAGTTCGTCCCAAGTAGATTTTGAAAGCATCCATCCAAGACCGGGAAAAAAATCAGAGCGGTAAAGAGCATCTGCAGAGTAAATTATAAAGCATTTCAGTGAGATCAGAAAAGCAGAGCTCTGTGTACTTTGCTAAAAGACACCTAAATAATATCAATAAATTCCGCAACATCGAGAAGAAAACAATGGGATTAACCTCCATGGAGGATATACTTTTGCTCAGCCCAACAATGAAATCAATGGGGTAAAAACATGCAACTCCTTTTTCTTTTGGACAGTCCAAAATATTCAATTGAAGCCAATCCTAGAAAGGGCTATGGATTTGAAAAGAGAACCGTAGCGCCCCAAAATTTTCTCTTACGACAATCTTAGCCATAAAATATTTGTGTTTGTACCAAAAGAACAAGTCACTTACGACTGCTTGATTCACATGCGAAAACGATTGGCTCCTATCAGTTCAAGAAAAGGTAATTCCCTGTCCTAAAAATTTTAAAAATATATTTTCTTTTCTTGTTTTTGTTTTCCAATTTCTCATAAAACTTCCTGTTACAACTCCAACGAGCAAATTTTCAACTTTTCCCCTTTTTCATTGGTTTCTCCAAAACGAAAAGAGGAGACGTTAAAATTCAGTACTAAGCAGCTACCGACTGTTCCGACGCGCCCTTGACCTATTTTAATTAAGACCAAAAACCTATCTCTAAAGTGGAGCCTAGTTTAAGCTGTCAAACAAGTGATGATTGAATGAAAGAAAAACCACTAGTATATTGTAACACTACCAGTCTTCTTACTGATGCTTGTATTAGCATGAGTAATATGATTCAATTTCAAGTTGATGATTAAAAAGGATATGGGTTGAGCAAGGAGAAAGAGAGACAATGGCAGAGAAATTCAGGAACCAGTCACAGAAAGAGAGACATGTGGCAGACAAATCCAAGAACCAGTCATCGAAAAGGAATAAAGAAAAAACTGCAGAGGTATATCAAAAGTAAAGTACTCAAAAGCAAATCCTTTACGCTGTTTTAGGATATAATTTCTTCCAAGGAATCAAAAAGAAAATGAAGTATAACCATTCAACAGAACAGAAAAAGAAACCATCTGCACTAAGCAGCGTTTGGGTTTCTTCATTGAATAACGGTCAGTAAAATTTCCAATTGAAACAGGAGAAGAGTTCAAAAGAAAAATCATAACCACCAATCACAAAGGACAAAAAAGAAGGAAGAAAGAAAAAACTTACAAGGATCTTGGACAAACTGCATTTGTCCATTGTCATTCCAAGAAGAAATAGCCATAATCGACCTGGGATGTTCACCATAAGTATTTAAGAAATTCTTATAACATACTTGGGACATTTAGAACAGGCTTTTTATCCCCATGTTTTAGGCTAATCCCATTCTAGTTCGTTCACTATCTAGCATATTTGGACGTCAGTCTACGAGGGAAAAGCTTTTAATCCTTTTGCTAAGAATATTATATAACCAAAATGGAAATCAATCTATCCCCCTCGCTGCCATCAGATTTTCTCCTATCACAAGCCTGGAAGAGCAGGAGATCTTGGATGCTGTTGAATCTGATTCAATTATGTTGGTTCTTTTAAGAAAATGAGGGGGGAGTTGGACACGAGTAAAAAAATAGTAATTTTCCTGAGACTAGGATGAATTGAATAATTCTTTGAAAGTAAAACAACGCAACATCCGGATCCTTTAAGAGTGCCTTACTTGTCTCTGTCAAGAAGAGTAGCTCCAGCCTCAAAAAAGTCAAAAAAATCAGGGGCAATTTCCATATCATCTGCATGTCAGAGGCACAGATATTGTGAGAAGAAAAAGAGCAAAGAACATGCAACATAGTGATTAAGATAGATCAGCAGTACCTTCTAGTATGATAACACGGCTAAAATTATGCTTGTAAAACAGCTGATCCAATGCCCACTTGTAATGACCTACGGAAAGAGTGATCGACAATGGCTAAGGCAAGACTAGCACTAGTTGGAATAAAAATGAGTTACGAAAAAAGATGGGAAAAAAAAGGACCAAATCATCCTTACGTGCAATTTTGTAGTATGCAATCAGCTCCCCTGGTCTTTCAGTATGCACAGGTTCAAAATCCAAGTGCTGTTGATAAAGAATCGAAAAAGTCTTTTCTTAAGAACTGTCAAGAAAAAGCGCCAAGAAGAGTTTGATACCGAGCTTAAGCAGAAGCAATTGTTAACTACATTTCACATTGCCAGGCCAGAACAGTTATCAGCTAGGCAGCAAAAGGTTAAAGATAAAGACTAAAGTAACTGCAGCCAAATGATAAAATGAAGCAGACAGATTCATATCCTATGCAATGCGTAGCTTTTATCAGAGAAAAACATTAGGTAGAAAAAGCAATCGATAGGTTACAAAACTATGAACCTATTGCAGTAGATGAATGAATATATGGAACAGAAGTGTGGCTACTCATAAGAGAGAGAGAGAGAGAGAGAGAGAGAGAAATCACATATATATGAAGAGAGGGGGAAAAGCTGCAACATAAAAGCATAAATCAAACAATACATGCCTCTTCCACTTGTGCTGTCTTATAGGGAAAAGGACAAATTGTGTCACACAATGATACAAAGCTGAAGTAATAAAAGGGTCGAAATGATAAGGAAAATATCTACAGGTTAAATATAAATAATGTATCTTTTCCCTTTCAATCTTTTAGCAGATGAAAACTCCTTATGGGCAATATTTCTACTAACTTGTTTCCCTGTACATAATATGGTTATTGGTAATGATGATGATTGAGTATTGCAAGTAAAAACAAGCCTGGCAACAATGAGTTCTTATTCTTAAGTCTATACTTCCCCTCCAAGTAAAGACATATACCTGATTTAAATTTCAAAGATAGAGATACGCCAAACATCCTGTTTTCCCTTCTCACGCGGTAGAGAAGATTACCTGCATATACGTCAGCTGATCATAGCTCAAAGCAAGCTTCCTAACATCAGGATGTGATCCATCCTGCCAAAGGGAGGTAGATCGAAAAGTAGGTTCAACAACAAAAAGAAGACAAGCATACAATAGAAAGTTATGTGCGAAAATAAATGGGTACCTGGGATATGAAAAGAGGATATTTTGGCGCAACAGATATTTGGTATCTGATGACAACAATGGAAGTACCGGGCTTATCAGCTGAGGCATCTAATATGCAATAAGAAGCAGACAAAATTGTTTTGATACAAAACATACTTTAAGATGGATTTAATAGTCTTTTCCAGGTAGTCAGCCCGATTGCAAGCCATAACAACTACAGCAGCCACTGGCATCTAGTAAATATAGTAATTAGGTGATGCACAAATTTGACAGAAATGAAGTCAACAGATGTTGATAGTGAAAGCATGACTGAGGATATGAGAATGTATGTACACCTGTACATTTCCGATCAACTTTTTTATGCCCTTACCTGTAACAAATAAATTAACAATATCAACTATATAAATAAGTACAAATACTTGTAGCATGGGTATATCTAGGATTAGAGCCCATAATATTAATAACTCAATGATATGAACAGACACATTGACACTGACAGATCTTTATTTGCCACGTACAATGGGTTTCATTATTACAGGCAAACATTTCATATTACTGTGACTAAAAGCAGTGGCTTTTGGACTAAAAGCTGAAAGAAGAAGAGGAGTTTATGAACTTACTTTCAAGATCCTGAACAAGAGCCCTTAACTGTCGGCACTCCTGGTCCTGACGCTTCATTTGTTCTGAAAATGTAGCAAGATGAAGATAAGGAAAGTAAAATTACCCATTACCTTTCTTCCCCTCCCCCCAAAAAATACAACTACCTGTTCCCTTCATACAAAAGAGATAAGTAGCATTTCAGTTTCTGACAGCAAACACCAGATTTTATTAATTGGGATCTGTTAGGTTTTTTAAAGAGATGGAGCAGCAAGAAGATTAAAAGAATGGTTGAAATTGTCTCTCATTTTAATTTTATTAACCAGAGGGCTTTAAATAGCCAACTTGAAAACATAATCTGCAGAATAAATATTCAAATTTCAAAAACCTCAAATATCTCAACTAACTTATCCAACTAAATTTACATTTAAACAAAGACCCCTCCTACGACTAAACTACTTATTATTCTAGTAAATCATAAATCAGCAGTAACAGAAGCAAATATTCAACATGATCTGTATTATCACAGAAAGGATAAGGAACAAAGCATTGAAAGAGGACACGAAGAAACTGAAAAGGTCCTATCCTCACTGCTCATCCATGAAGATGTCTCGAAACTTACAACACAAAAACAGAAAATTTCTCAAAAGAGACCAGATCTACATCAACACAATAGCACATAACAGGGATGGGAACAACTGAACATTCAATTCAAAAGGAACATGCTGGATTGGGAACTGGACGAACTCTTTGATCTATACAGAATACTTGAAGACCTCACGATGAACCCACAAAACCCAGACATCCTAATGTGGGACAACACCAGCAAGGGCATTTATTCAGTGAAGGCAGGGTACAACAAAATGTGCGTATCAAATGAAGTGATTGATCATTGGCCTTGGAAACTAATCTAGAAAAAAAACTCCCCACTGAAGTCATGTGCTTTACATGGACAGCCCTTGAAGAAGCTATCCTGACTCAAGATTTGTAGAAGGGGTTTTCAAATGGTGAACAGATGTTACATGTGTCATCAGAGTTCAGAGTCAGTAAATCATCTTTTTTTGCATTGTTCAGTGGCTGCAGACATATGGTAAATGTTCCTATCAGTTTTTGGTATTAGCTGGACAACACCTCAGAACCTAAAGGAAGCAGTAGAAAATTGGAGCTTCTGGGAAGTTGACGGAACCATCAAAAAGACCTGGCAGATGATCCCAGCGTGTATTTTTTGGTGTATTTGGACAGAAAGAAATAGCAGATGTTTTGATGGCATTTCAACTCCTAATTGCTCCCTGAAATCTATATGTTTGATGAATCTTTTTAGTTGGAGTAACCTTTCCCCTGTAAATGACGTTATTCCCCTCCTAGATTTCATTAGCTCTCTTACTCTGGCCTAGCAGGCAAAGTTTTGGTATTGGTTAGCTCATGCTCTGATCTAGATTTTTGTACTTGGAGTTAACCATTACTATCTTCTACACTCTCTTGCATCTTCTTGATCAAATATTTTCAGTGTACTCACTTATGATAGGACCAAAACTTACATAAAATTTTCAAGATAGACTATTTCCAATAGATCCATTTGTAGAATGGAGGAAATAAATCCATTTATCAAGAGGACAATGAAGAAAGAAAGGACTACACCGAAAAACACATTGCACCTTCAAGAGCAACTATTCTTCCTTGCTGCTGGCTAATCTGGTCAATAAGCAATCTGGTCTGACTTGTACAGTGATTTTCTGCTTCAATCTGTGTCATTCAATGATTTATACACATAGTGAGCAATTAAAAGTTCTTTACTTCTTTCTTTAGCCTGCATCATTGAAGAAGGGCGCAGTTGTATGCTGTTAAGACAACACAAAGAAAGATTATGCAATATCCTTCTGAGAAGAAAAGAGAAGATTTTTGGAATGACATTTGAATTGTTGAAGGATGCCTTCACGTAGAGCATATGAAGATTTTAGAAACATCATATTCACAATACATGACATGAATACAAATTCTTAAACTGTAGAACAAAAGAAATATGTCTATGGTATTTAGATTTCCTGTAGGGAGGATGACTAGATGAGTCCAGATACATACTGCAGCAGCAAGGCGATCTGCATATTCTGACTGTGTCGCAAAAAGCCGCATCTGAGCAATGTAGCAAAAGCAACCACTTAAAACCATACCTAATTCACCATTAAGCAAACACTAATCCAGAAAGAAAAAGAAAGAAATCAAAAAAAAAAGGTAAATTCTTTTCATAATACCCATGTCAACAAAACCAAGTAACCTCATATATTGCTTGGCTTTCCCTAAGCAATATAAACTTTTCTTTTTACAATTGCGGTTGCATGCATCTCCACTAATCCACCGGGTACTTAATACCTCCTACTAGCACAGATATCAAGTAACTCTATCCACCAAGCTTAGGCAGATGAGAATATTGTTGCCCAAATTGTTCATTTGTTACGCCAGAACCTTGGGGCTAGAAGTTAAATCTTGATATTTGCTTTTGTCTAATACATTAGAAAGAGATAACAGAGATACCAAAACTAAACCATACAGTACAGTACCAAAAGTTATTTACCTCAGATGGTACAGTGTCGTCAGAATCTATTGCAAATTTGCAATAGCAGAAAAAAGTTTCAATTGCTTCGCCTACAAGCCATGAAAATTTCAAATGCATAGCCTACAGAAGTTCTTTTGGGCATGTGAATGTCAATTCTTTCCTAGCGGTTCACCTTATCTTTGCCAAGGGGAATTTGCGACCAAAATACTAAAAGAGGGAACCAGCTGCTTAAAGTGGCACACCCCACTAGTGACACAGCTAAATCAATAAATGTATTGAAGGGGGTTCACTTTAATCTCTTGCGAGGAAAGTTACACTGTACAAATAGGGAAAAATTATTTTTTATATATATAAAAAAAATTGTTGAATCCCCTTGATAGTTAAGCTATTCTGCAAGTTTGCATTTTTTTTTAATCCCCTAGGTATAAATCCTGACTGCCCACAAGTTGATGTTAAAATTGTTCTCTAGTTTCCTAAGATTTAATAACAAACTTGTTCTAAATTCTACGTAATTCAAAATTAGTTCCACTAATTTCTTAGTCATCAATTTTCTGTATTAAAGATTGCAAATTATGTTCATGTAGAGTTCATATGAAACAGTGGTAATTTAAGAGAAGGCTAAGGTCCAAAAGAAACCTAACCTAATGAACCTATTTCATTGCTGGTGATCTTAATCGTACAAGAAAGATAGATCTGAGATATAAGCCATGTATAAGAGAACCTGTATGTAGATGAAGGCGACAGCAGCCAAGATGAGGAGGTACCGGAAATCACAGCAAAACTTGTACCCTCTCATCGTGCGATTTCGATTGAAGGCTTTAGGAGAAAGCGAATAGTCTATCACTGTTCAGTTATGAGTGTTTCATCCGTGGATTTACTTTGCCTGTTCAGTTAGGATCAAGTCAATATTGGTCCTTTTCATACTCTCTTCTCTCTTGGAAATAAACTCCGACAAGACAATTAAATTTCACAAGGGGAAAAAACACAAATTAAATATAAAAAAATTACCGTGTTTTAAATAAGATGAATTTTCTGTAGATTAATAATATAACGGTTAATACAGGAATAATATGCATAAAATTATAATGCAGGGATTAAAATATGTGTTTTGCTTATTTAGAAGAAAATTATTTAATCTTTTTAGTTGTTTTAATACATATATTACTAATTTTCATATTCTTATTACACCTTATATCCCAGCTATAAAATAATATATTTATTAATTTTTGCGTAATTTATTTATATATTTTTTATGCAGGTAATAAAAACAACAACCAAACATCCTATATATAATGCTGAATTTTAAACAAAATTCAAGAGGCAACCAAACACTATATTGTAATAGCTTGTACATGCAACCAACAATTAAGGAGGGTCGTTTGGTTGGTGAATAAATAATACCAGAAGTATAATGGCGGGATTATTTAGTCGATATAATTTTATTAGTAGATATTTGGCTAATTAGATAAAAATAAAATATATACAAGATATAAAACATGTATTTAATTTTATACTTAGATAAGTTGAGATAATTTTTTATTTCTAATTTTCACCTAAGATTTTCTAAAGGACTTTGAGAGAAGAGCTTTGGAAAAAGGTATCTTAGTCATTTTGGTATGTTATTTTGAGATTAGTAATTCGGGGATTGTTATTCCGTATTGAGAATGTATAAAAATGATATCATAACTATGGTATAATTAATCTCATAATTAAAAGAATCTTGCATTTTTATTCTGAAATTGTTATCCCTATCCCACAAACTAAACGACCAGTAAGTATTTTTCTCTTGTCATCGTGTACGTAGTGACAAATCCACCAATCAAGCTTAGTGGTTTCTCTCTTTCTTGTTGCAATCCTGGTCTTGATTTTCCCTTTTCCTCTTGCAGGAGAAACCTAATGCGTCTAAGTTATGGTCTTCCACTCCACTCTTTGCTAATCTATGTTGTGCTGGGTCTCTTCATTTGATCAATATTTACTGTATAATCTCCTGTGTCTTCGTTCAAACATCATGTGTTATGATCATTAAATGGTACTCCTATAAATTAATATTACCTCAGTATGTACACTATCATTGTCTATGATTGTTTTTTTTTTTTTTGTTGCTTCATTGACAAGTTAAAATGATCATTATATTAGTTATTAACGAACAAAGATATAATAAAGTAAGGAGTAGGTTTCATCATACAATAGGACTAAAGGAATGCCACCACTAGCCCACGTTAAAATAAAGATTAAGCGTATATCCAAAGAGTGTTTCTGCGTACATTTATAACCCAGCAAATTGTCATGATAATACTTACATAAATACTCAATTTCGCGTTGAAAGTTTATGCTATTAATATCCATGAAACTGATAGTTTTTGAACAATGGAAATAATATGGATGCCTCAGAGTAAAACAAGAATTGACCTACCCTCCTTGCCGCTTGAGCTCCAAAGGGAAATATAAATGCTGCAACATTTTATCTTCCAATCCTTGCGCTGCACCAAGATGTGTCATAACATCATAGATTTCCGAATTTCCAATCCAAGCCCTGTGCGCTGTGGCGGAGGGTATTAATAATGACAACAACGGATATCTTACTTTTATGTTTTATGCGCGGAAAGTGGAGTGGTTGTCCAACCGAGCAAGTTGCATAATGGAGTAATCCTAGAATGACAAGCTAGCTATTAAACTTATATCCTAAAGTTCCTGTATACTCAAGTATTCTCATTCTGCTCATATCATAATAAATCTCAAATATGTCAAAGCAGGCCACCGTCCATCCATCCTTTTGGATTATTTTTTCTTTGTTTAATCCCTAATGCCTTTGTCATAGCTATGTTCTACTAACTTTTTATTACTCCGGGTGGTTGGCCATTTTGATTTTGGTGTGCTCCACAATTTCCTTTTCTTTTACTTGAGGGAACTGTCTATATCTCGTGATATCCTTCAGAAAAAAGACTAAAACTTCACTTTATATGGCTACTACCCTACCCAGAACAAATGAAAGACCTTGGCTTGCCACTTTAGTAATCTAGTATCACTACTTCCTCTTCGAAAGGACATTTCTTGTCCTCTCTGTTTCCTCTCTCGGAGTTTATAAACTTTAAGATTTGAAGGTCGCTTCCTCTCTGTCTCTGCGGTTGTCTCCTTTTATTTTCTATCATGACAGAATTAACTTCCAAGTTCTCAGACTTGAAAAGTTCTTCCTGCCCGTCCCTTTAGCCCTGCTCTCTCCTCCATTTCTAACAGTTGTTCGTCACATTGGGTTTTATTTTACTTTTGTTGGTAATCTGATCCTTCTACAGTTACCAACGCATTAATTGCAATTGGAGGCGTCATCATGAATTTAAATTGTTTTCTGCTAATTCTGTTCGTCTGCTTTATTGGACAATCTTCAGAGGAGCAGAGACAAGCTTATGAGGTGAAGATTGGAGCCATCTTTTCTTTTGGCACCACCAACGGCAAGGTTGCTAGAATCGCAATGGAAGCTGCTGTCCAAGACGTCAATTCTGATACCACTCTTCTTGACGGAAGAAAACTTGCTCTCACCCTCCATGATTCAAACTACAGCGGATTCCTTGGGATCATTGGAGGTATATATATATAGTTCTCACCTTTTCATACTACACTTTTTCAATTTATCTCTCACTGCTCTTAGATATCACTTGACTAGATCGTCTTGTTAACTCTTTTCTACTTTTCTGGCTTCCCAGCATTACAATTCATGGAGACCGATACAGTAGCTGTGATTGGCCCTCAAAGTTCTGTAATGGCCCATGTACTCTCTCACCTTGCGAATGAACTCCATGTCCCGCTCCTTTCTTTCACAGCATTGGACCCCACACTCTCACCTCTTCAGTACCCCTATTTCATTCAGACTGCCCCCAGTGATCTTTTTCTAATGACTGCCGTAGCCGATATGATCAGTTATTTTCAATACAGAGAAGTCATTGCAATTTTCTCAGACGATGATCAAGGTCGAAATAGTATTGCCGCTCTAGGTGATAAACTTGTTGAGAGACGTTGTAAGATTTCTTACAAGGCAATTCTTCCACCTGAACTCATGTCTAGTCGTGACCTGATCGTGGCTGAGTTGCTCAAGGTTAAATCAATCGAATCCCGAGTTATTGTTCTACATACACTATCCATAACAGGTCTCAAGGTTTTTGAGGTTGCCCAGGAGCTTGGCATGATGACGAGTGAATATGTTTGGATTGCTACTTCTTGGCTTTCCGGTGTCCTTGATTCGACTTCAGTTTCAACAAAGGTGGCTAGCTCTATACAAGGTGCTCTCACCCTTCGGCCCCATACACCTGATTCCCAAAAGAAGAGGGCTTTTGTATCAAGGTGGAACAAGTTGAGCAATAGCTCCGTTGGTTTGAATGCCTACGGTCTATACGCCTATGATACTGTTTGGATGATTGCTTACGCAGTTAAAGAGTTTTTAGATCAAGGAGGCAAAATCTCCTACTCAAATGATTCTAATTTGGACAGTTTTGCTGGAGAGACGATGAACCTTGCTGCACTTAGCATTTTTGATGGTGGTAAGAAGTTGCTTAGTAACATATTAAAGACCAACATGACAGGGGTAAGTGGTCCCATTGCATTTAAACCAGATAGATCCATGTTCCGTCCCTCGTTTGATATTCTCAATGTAGTTGGCAAAGGATGGTTAAGGCAAATAGGATACTGGTGTAACTACTCTGGGCTATCCGTTGTGCCTCCGGAGTCTCTTTATGCCAAACCAGCTAATAGGTCAAGTGCAACTCAACGGTTGGATCAGGTTATATGGCCAGGGAAAACTAAAATCAGACCGCGTGGATGGGTATTTCCAGACAATGGGAGGCCGTTAAGGATTGGAGTCCCAAGGAGAGTGGGCTTCAGAGCTTTTGTTTCAGAAAAGGAAGGTAGTGGAGTGGTCCAAGGATATTGCATAGATGTCTTCCTTGCAGCCTTGAAGTGTCTTTCATACCCTGTGCCACATCAATTCATCATTTTTGGAGATGGACACAAAAATCCAAGCTATACTCAGCTAGTAAACATGATCACAGCCCATGTGAGTACCGTCAATGGCATTGCTATTCCCGCTACTTAAAGTTGCAAAAACTTAAGTGTAGTTAACATTCAGTATAACATTGTTTTCTTATTCTGTGATAGGAATTTGATGCTGCAGTTGGTGACATTACAATTGTCACGAACCGCACAAAGATATTGGATTTTAGTCAACCATACATAGAGTCAGGGTTAGTGGTGGTGGTACATGTGAAAAAGATGAGGTCGATTGCTTGGGCTTTCCTGCGGCCATTTACTCCCCTGGCGTGGGGAGTCATAGCCGCTTTTTGCCTTGTTGTGGGAACCGTAGTGTGGATACTAGAGCACAAATTTAATGATGAATTTCGTGGCCCCCCAAAGAAGCAGGTGGTCACAATTTTATGGTGAGTTAATTGGATGCCTTTCCTGTTAGCCTTCTAAGTACTGTAATGGGAAGTTAATGCAACTACCTAAGTACTAGGATCCTACGAAGTTACGCAAGAAGCTATAGAAAGCAGTGTTTGAATTCTATTTTCTTGCATTACTAATCTCATAATTTGCATCTTGATTTTAGGATTTGAACTCATCTCCTTGTACCCCTTATTTTGCTTGCAGGTTTAGTTTCTCAACTATATTTGGAGCCCCGAGTAAGTATCTAGTTTCTCCTCCTTTCACAAAAGTCAAGGTAATAACTGTATTTATTTAATTTGTAGTGTTAAACTTTGGCATAATGGTTAAATTCTGAAAACCTTTCAGGAGAAAACACAGTGAGCACATTAGGTCGAATTGTACTGCTTATATGGCTATTCGTCATCTTGATAATTACGTCGAGCTATACCGCCAGCTTGACATCGTTTCTAACGGTTCAACAGCTTGCATCATCTATCCAAGGAATTGAATCCTTAGTAACAAGCAATGACGCAATTGGGTACCAGGTAGGCTCTTTTGCTGAGAACTACTTATTTGAAGAAGTCAACATTGCAAAGTCTAGGCTTGTTCCTCTTGGATCACCAAAAGAATATGCTGATGCCCTTGAACAAGGAAGAGTTGCTGCTGTGGTCGATGAACGTCCATATGTGGATCAGTTTTTATCAACTTACTGTGGGTTCCAAAAAGTTGGCCCAGAGTTTACCAAAAGTGGATGGGGATTCGTAAGTATTTCCTTACTCATATATTATTGCTACTAACGCTTATAGCGAAGTAATAAATGGACATGAGTGGCAAAATGACTTAAGAGCTAGTCATGTAACATAAGCTGATAGCTTGATGCAATTAATTTTATAGGCATTTCCGAGAGACTCACCCTTAGCTATTGACATGTCAACTGCAATCTTGCAATTATCTGAGAATGGAGAGCTAGAGAAGATTCACAAGAAGTGGTTAAACAGAAAAGTTTGTGGAGGGCAGAACTCTGAAGCAGATTCAGAGCAGCTTCAGTTGAAGAGCTTTTGGGGTCTATTCCTCATTTGTGGAGTTACTTGCTGTTTTGCTCTGATTGTATATTTCTGCTTCATGTTGCGGCAGTTCAAACGACATTTTCCTGAATTAACGCAGCGTTCTACTTCTACTAGAACTAGAATATCACATTCAATACGGCTTAAGAAGTTTTTGTCTTTTGTGGATGAGAAGGCAGAAATATCTGCAAATAGGTTGAAAAGAAAGCGGATGGAAATGGAAAACCTTTCCACTAGCTAATGCCGATCATCATCGAAGCTTGAAATGATGAACATTTTCCAAAAGAGAGACTGTGAAATGTTCTCCTTTGATTCTTGTTCATCTTATCATGTAACAACGGAATGTAGAGAACATCTAGTGTTCGAAGAATTAACCCAATAACTTTGTAATTTAATATAATAAGATGTTAAGTTTTAGGATATTGATGTACAGCTCCAATAACTCTAACAAAAGTGGGTTGCTCTAGTGGAGAGCACACAGCCTCTTTATCCAGGGTAGAGATAAGGTCCAGGGTAGAGATAAGGTGTGCGTACAAACTACCCCATCACACTTCACTAGTGGAATTATTCACTAGTGGAATTATACTGGGTTGTTGTTGTTGTTGTTGTTGTTGTTGTTGTTGATGTACAGCTCCACAAATATGGAATAAGATGTTATGTTTTGGAATATTGATGTGATGAATGTGTTGAATGGTGTTACCCAACAGAGAGATAGAGAATGTAATATCGTTTATGGACAAAAATATAGGATTGCCAAAAGGCTAACTGAATCTTAAGCCGCTTCAGCATGTTAGTTGAGCTCATTTTGGCCTGCTTTAAGAGTTTATTCCTTGTGATACGGACTTCCTCATCTCTTTCTCACAAGAAGCCCAATCAGCATTTTCAGCTCTAGGTACCTTGGGTTGGGGCAAATTTTGAAGAGATGATTCAATAACTAACTTATTTAAAATGCTTCTTATTTACAAATAATTGGTTTGATCAAAGATTAATCCTAATAAATGGTGAGTAGATTAGATAAACCAGTATCTATATATATATAGAGAGAGAGTGATATTGTGCGTAAATAGAAAATTTCATTTACTTAACAGAAAAAATAAGCTATGTCTAGTTGGGTGGAAGTGTGTAAAAGAAAAGAAACTTACAGTAAAACAAAGAAAGTGGCCAACCCCTCAACTCAACCTAGTCTCTTTCAGAAGCTGAGTAGCGAGTTTTTCGGTAAGAACCCTCTTTCCTTCAGAGGCTGGTGATTGGGTGAGACTCTTTTACAGGCGTTGGCTCTCACTCTAACCAGTAACCACACTCTTCTTTGCAATGGCCATCTTCTGTCAGTCTCCCCTCAATCTCAATCTCAACCTCATCACCTCCTCACGCAAACCCAATCCTAATCCCTCCTTTAGACTCAATCTCTCCGCTCACTCCCGCACCCTCGTCACTGAGCCCCCACCAGTTTTCACCTGCGTCAAGTCATTTGCTCCCGCCACCGTCGCTAATCTCGGCCCCGGTTTCGACTTCCTTGGCTGCGCTGTCGACGGCATCGGCGACTACGTCACTCTCCGCGTCGACCCCGACGTTTACCCTGGTGAGGTTTCTATTTCTGACATCTCCGGCGCCGGCAAGAAGCTCAACAAAAACCCCCTCTGGAATTGCGCGGGTATCGCCGCCATCTCCGTCATGAAGATGCTCAACATCCGATCCGTTGGCCTTTCCCTCTCCCTCCAGAAGGGATTGCCCTTGGGCAGTGGTCTCGGGTCCAGTGCCGCTAGTGCCGCCGCCGCTGCGGTCGCCGTGAACGAGCTTTTTGGCCGCCCACTGGGCGCGTCTGACCTCGTGCTTGCTGGGCTAGAATCGGAATCGAAAGTCTCGGGTTACCACGCGGACAACGTGGCACCTGCTATTATGGGGGGTTTCGTATTGATCAGGAGCTACGATCCTCTGGAGTTAATCCAGTTGAAGTTTCCTCACGAAAAGGAGTTGTTCTTTGTGCTGGTGAATCCCGAATTTGAGGCCCCAACTAAGAAAATGAGGGAGGCACTGCCGCAACAGATAACCATGTCCCATCACGTTTGGAATTGTAGTCAGGCAGGGGCGTTAGTGGCGGCCGTGCTGCAGGGAGACCTGTCGGTTTTAGGAAAGGCACTGTCCTCTGATAAAATAGTGGAGCCAAGGAGGGCACCGTTGATTCCTGGAATGGAGGGTGTGAAGAAGGCGGCAATGGAAGCAGGAGCTTTTGGCTGCACCATAAGCGGAGCTGGGCCCACGGCAGTAGCAGTGACTGACAACGAGGAGAAAGGAAGGGAGATTGGGCAAAGAATGGTAGAGGCTTTTCTGAAAGAAGGAAACCTCAAGTCCTCGACGATGGTGAAGAAGCTAGACCGGGTTGGGGCCAGGCTTGTCAGTAGTGATCCCAGATGATTTTTGTCCTAATTGTCATGCTACAGCTTGTTGGTTCCTCGTACATCTTTTCTTGGGGGGGCCAACATGCCTTTGCAAATTTTTCACGGGAATGGTGAGAGTGGATGGTTCCGACATTCTTCCACCTAATCCATTACGGTCACCTTTGCATAGGGATTTTGATCTTCAGAGACTGATCCATTTTGGGCGGGTTGCCTACTTGAACTGGTGCCAAATAATGGAATAACTTAAAATTTTGGCAAATTGGCACCAAATCGTGACAGTTCAGTAGTATATGGGAGGTGGCGTCATGTCTCAACTGCTGTCTTCTAAGTACTACGGAGTACTCAAGTTTGGTGGTCATATAAGAAGTGAAAGCTATCAACCCAGCTAGAAGTTGAATTTGCATTATTTATAGCACTATAGTAGCTTTGAAGCTATATGAGATACACTTAGTGCAATTGCAATGCTTGATATTGAAACCTTCTTTCTTTTATCGTTTTTTATTTTTTTGTTTTGTTTAATAAGGTAATATTATTAAATTAAAACATATCTGTTAGTTACAGAGTTGCAAAATATAGATTGGCTTCTTACCCTCCTTTTCACTTCCTTTCAGCTTCTGTTCCTTTAAGTTGATGCATATATTTGGTTCCGATGTTGTGGGCGCTATTTCACCTTTTTTATTCTTTCCTCAACATAGCTCTGCGAAAGAGATACAAAGAATAAGATTCTTGATATTCTTTTGGGGGTGCAATATGCAGGGACTGAGGACATCCACTCTATGAAGCAAAGCTAGATACGTCGAGGGACAGTTCTGCTATGGACGAAGTCAGGCCTTAAGTGATCAAGGAGATAACAAGATGATTAATGGACCTTTGAGTTTCAAGAGCTTGATGAGTTTTTGTTTAATCACCACAAGTGATGCTTTAAAAAAAAAACAAGTGAACACCTTTGCGGCATTTCAGCAGAACCTTTCACAAGCATGACTACTAATCAAATGACCAAATTTCAAACCAAACAGGAATAAATGGCACTGTTCTAAACAACTGCAGTTGTAATTGGCAGAATCGTAAAACTCATTAAAAGATCTTGCACTGTTCTAAACAACTTAGAAAACTGAATAGCAAACACCACTCTATCAAACAAGGGAACCTTAAAGCAAACAAATTCCGGGCACTAGGCAAGGCAACATGTCGTCAAACGATCAGATCAGTTCTTAGCAGCAGCAGCCTGCCTAGCACCAAGAGCGAAGAACTCCGAGATCACTTCAAGAGGCATCCCTTTGGTTTCAGGTACTTTCAAGAAAACAAATATCCATGATATAACACAGACGATAGCATATATGCCAAATACACCAGCAAGGCCAATAGAGGACAGCATCACAGGTAGTGTGTAGGTAACAATAATATCCCCAATCCAGAATACTAGAGCACAGATGGCAATGCATATACCTCGGACCCGAGTTGGAAATATCTCTGAACAGAGTATGTTAGGAATGGGCCCGAACCCCATAACAAATGAGCAGAAGTACATAACAACACAAACTGTTGATATAGCAGCCTTTGCAACAGATCCCATACTCACTAAACTTCCAATAACTAGAACAATGAGGGCTATAATTAAGATAGGAATTGTGCCTAGCAGCAGACTCCTGCAATACAACAATATACAGAAAGGCAAAGGTAGTAATCAGATTTGCAGGAATCGAAACTAAGGACAATAGGACATCCATTCACTTTTTATCCAGCCTTAAGTGCAGGTAACAATGCAAATTTCTACAATATTTAAGATAAGAGAGAAAAAGGATGCTAAAGTCTATTATGTGAGAATCATTGTGGAGGAGAACCTTATAAATGTGGCCAAGCAAACCTACAAACAAAGATGGATGAAGGACCCTTTGTCTTAAATGAGTGGGAACGCTTCCCATAGGCATTGAAACTTGCTTGAACTCTAAATCAGCAGTGAACATGAAGCAGGTCAGAGTACAAAAAATGAAGAGATTTATTTCTCCCTTTAAGATGGCAACAATTTAGTGCATGGGAGGGTTTCTTTTTCCTTTTACACTCAGACCCTGGTTTGAATGGGTAGCCTCCCACTACACCCTGCTACTATTATACTTTTCTAGTGCTAATAATGGCAAAGGGCCCCCTCAATCTTCCATCTGTTAAAGCATAGAAATTTTTGCGATATCTCCCTCACTCCATCTTGAACTAGCAAACAGTCTACTGCAATGGAGATGCATTGCGTCCAAATTCCAGACACATCTACTAATGAGGGGATTAGACCTTTAAAGAAAGAAGGGGGTGCCCTTAAAACAAAAAAGAATACCCCACAATTGGAGATGAGAAATCAAATCAAAATACTTTGTGAGCCATTTGGACAAGGCACTACGAAAAACATCATATTCACTCTTGTTCCATAGTAGTTACTCAAAAGTAATTACCTCCTGCCAGAGATATCCATAAGCCTCATGGCAACAGCTATTGAAGGGAGCATTAAGAAATTTGTGATTGCACTTATCAGCAGAGATGCAGAAGCAGAACTGATGCCAAGGTTTGACAAAAGAACTCCTACACCTGCTTGCTCAAGTATTTGAGGAGTATAGTACATAACTCCATTAATTCCTGAGAACTGCATGAACAGGTGTTAGAAAGGGAAGCAGACAGTCTTTGATACAGTGTAAACCAAGCTGACTCTAGCATTTCCTATGCAAGGATGCTGAATCAAGACGAAGTGAAATAGAAAAATCACAAAGATATCAAAGTAGGAATATCTTTACAATAGTGCCGTTTCTGTATTTAATGGAATTATGGCAGGAGGTTAAATTAGGTCATAATCTTGACTACCTGGCCTAAAAGAAATATTCAAATTTGAGGCCGTAAAGGACAACTGTGTAGCAGTACCAGCGGGACTTGTAAATATTTCAAATATCAGCAACCAGACTGCTAGTATCATATTTAGAATGCTACCTTACAAATATTGACTCATTAAACATCAGTTTGTATTGACTGAAGTCTCACCAATATCCATCTCTGTGAATGGTTAGCATGAATCAGCCTAATAGTTATCAACTTCTCTTATTCTTTTGTTGCTTCTCAAGATCTATAAAAAAAATGCTCAAGATAAATCGTGCCCAATCACAAAATTTACACGTCATCCTTTGATTCAGATTCAATTCAAGATGAAGAGTCTAACCCCTTAGGATTCTGCAGAGAAATTTTCTCCAATCCTAACCTATCAATAGATATTTTGATTGAAGGCAGGAATACAGCCCTAATGACAAGGTCTGGAAAGAATTTGTGTACTACATCTTTTGAAGAAATGAATATGCTTCTACTTAACTCTTAGTTGCATAAGGTCTCCAGAATCACTGTTAAAATAGCAACCGCGCCAAATAGACACTCAAAAAGTTTCTACAATAAAGCAAGAAAGCTACTGATCTCAAGTCCAGATTTAAGGAGGGAACATAACCAACCTGCAATAGAGACAGACTGACCTTGGGAATGCATGGAAGAAAGACAGTAGTTACACTATATTCTAGTAATATTGGTGATTACCTGCTGAAGTAGTTGGATTCCCACACCAACAATCAATGCATGCTTGACTCCTGGTTCAAATAAATCGCTCCAACTAGGCCATTTTCCAGATGCTTCAGATGGATGAATCATAGCTGGTCCAACATGATGTTGATCCATCAAATCTTTCGAATATAAAGCTGGTTGACTCACCAAAGCAGCAGCACGAACAAATTCACCACCACTAGGCATATCACCCCCAGGAAGAGAAACTAAAGATCCCTTTCGAGTTCCATGAGTTCCACCTTCATGCAAATAGATTCTTTTAAAACCTCCCTCCTTTTCATCATCACCTTCTCTCTCTGTCCATTTCCATGCAAGCTGCCATCCACCACCAATGCCAGCACTGCCAACTGGTTCACCATCATTACCCTGCATCATGCTAAAAAAACTTCCACGAGATGGAGGCGGAACCATGTCCTTTTCCATGCTTGTTGCCTGACGAGATATCAGTGGGCTCTGCAAATTGTCATCAGATTCTTCAGCTGCAGCCTCAGATGCATAATCATCGCCCTCTATGGCAAGGCTTTCTTCATCCCACTCTTCATTTTTTGTTTGATCTCCAGCAACACTAAACATGCTGCCGAGATGCGGAAAGAGCATGCTTCCCTTGCTTCCCACATCCGGAAGCTTTTCATGAACGCTGCCAAATAGAGTGACAACAGGGTCCATGAGGGGCACATTAGGTGCAAATGTGCTTCCTTGGCGAGATGCAACACCAACTACGCTTTGCCCAGTGACAGGCCGTGCAACCAAAGAGTGTCCATGTTCAGGCCCATATAGCCTAATATGATCTTTTTGAACACTTGGTTCCTGGTCTTCCGCAAGTCCATTATCTGGACCAATAATGTACTCCTCCACTGATGTTTCACCACCAACTCCAAGACCCTCAACTAGCAAAGCCATTTCTCCTGTAAATAGAAGCTGCATCAGTATTGAACTTTGCCAGTTTCATCAGGAAACCTAAGATCACTGATAAACTAAAGGAAGCCGAGCAGCACTACAGCCAAAGGCACAAGCATGATAAGTTCACAGATACTTTCGGTACACAAAGCAAGATATCAGATTCATTTTACGTCGAAAACTCCATGATCTTTTCAATCTCTACAGAACCAAGCTAGTACAATCACCAAAGTTTACTCTTCTGGCTATATACCCAAGTAAATATTGGACAAAGTGAAACAGTATAGTCCACATGCTTGGCCCATGTAAAAGAATCAGGCCAGCATGTGCGGGGGCCTGTTAAAGACATAATAATTAACTAGATGAATGCATCTCTTATCTAACAACTTAAACTTGTAAATGAGGTGGTCACGCATTTTAACAGCTGTTAACATTAATAAAATCAAAATTACTCCCTCCGTCCCAAATTAGTTGTCTTGTTTTGCTTCTCGAGAGTCAATTTGATTAATTTTCAAAGCTAAATTGGATTAGATCAACTCAATATTCTAAAACTAAAATTTAGATATTGAAGAACGATACAAAAAGTACGACAAGTTGCAATTTTTTAATGTCAATATGATCAAAAAACACATTTAAATATGTTGGTCAAAGTTCACAAAGTTTGACTCTCGAGAAGTTAAACATGACAACTAATTTGGGACGGAGGGAGTTGGAAGTAATGAAAGAGCTAGACGACGTCTTCGTTAGACAAAATCCATCTCCTGAAATCATTAAGAATTCCCCAATTTTGCATGCCTTATCTGTTAGAATAGTTTTGTGAATATATATGTAATTAGTTCGAGTCCCGTATGTAATAGGAGTAGGTTATATCAACAACAACAATAACAACAACAACATACTCAGTATTATCCCACACCGTGGGGTCTGGGATAATATGTTGGTCAAAGTTCACAAAGTTTGACTCTCGAGAAGTGAAACATGACAACTAATTTGGGACAGAGGGAGTAGGAAGTAATGAAAGAGCTAGACGACGTCTTCGTTAGACAAAATTCATCTCCTGAAATCATTAAGAATTCCCCAATTTTGCATGCCTTATCTGTTAGAATAGCTTTGTAAATATATATGTAATTA